CCGTCGATTATAAGCCCACACAACAAGGTTTTAAAAAAATGGAAACATAATTTTTTTTTTTTAATTCTGTAAAACAAATTCGCCAAAGCGAACATTCAAATCGTTTAATTTAGAAATAAAATCAAAGTAAAATCTTTTTGGTATATATACAAGCCTAAGATTGATATATACGTTTCGAAGGTTTTAATAAAAACTCAGGTGATGTGTAGGTACCCGCTCAGCCGAGCTTTGGTGTGGTTTCAACGTTTCTCCTTGGCCGAGATCTTGATACATTTTTAGGCATGCCAGATGTTTTAGCTTCTTCGCTGCAGATCGCACAACATATTTTTACTTATATATACTCTGCAAGTGTTATCTATACTAATATTATAAAGCTGAAAAGTTTGTTTGTTCTTTTTTTTTAATAAAGCAATTTAACGGTTGAAAACGCGATATATTAGTTAAACTTATTTAAAAATGATTTTTACTTCGGCTCTACGTTTCGGATGCTTTGCAGCAGCCGTGGTCACGGCTAAACACGTCTCCCGTAACTAATATATCGCGTTTTAAACCGTTAAAGTGTTTTATTTAAATGTGTACTACTCCTATAAACTATAGACAGTATTTAGTTTGTTTGTTTGAATGCGCAAATCTCAGGAAGTACTGGTGGAAGTTGAAAAATGATTTTTGTGTTAGTTTATCGAGGAAGGTGAAGGAGGAAGGCTAAAAAAGATCGCACATAAACATAGAAGAGAGAAACAAACAAAGAAACAGCGCAAAATGTGAAAGGGGAAAAAAAAACATTTTTAGGGATTCCGTTGTGTGCGCTACGAAAATTGTTCATGATTACGAAAAACTGTATATGTCTTTCTATTAAGATTAACTTACGATAACCAATTCACACATAACAGGTCATCACATTTAGTCGAAATACTTCGTAAGGCAATAAAACGTTTGCCATGCCAGCTTTTGAAAAAGCGTCATTAATATGTGAATATCAGATACAGCTCAACACATTTTATTAAGCGTTGACTTATTATTTAATCATTCGTGACAGTATGAAGTGTTGCGGATGACCTCCTTTATAATTAATTGTTACTCTGACGAACTCGTGAAAAACTCTCTCATTAATTTTATATTTTCCGTTTCGGGAAATATCACTTGCTATCTTTAGTTAACTCTCTCTAAAGAAACGTTTCAATTAGATAAAACTCAAGTTGGCGGAAAAAAAGGAGAGTAGAGAAGGGACAAAGTAAAGTAATTAAACAGCTTTTATTGCTCAGTCGAAAAAAGATTAAAATGTTGGAAATCTCTTAGCCATCGGGTCGGCCATTTTAGACTAGTACATTTACATTTAGGGTGCGTTTATTAAAGTAACAATTATTATTATTTAAAAATAAATATTCATCGTTTCCGTAGCTTGATGGTTAAACACGTTGCCAAGCATTGCATCAATCCTGGGTTCGTATCTCGGAGTGGTTTTTGAAAGCCATGCAGGTAGTCTAGTCTACTACGTGTTATATGGAGCGTAATATTAAACACTTTAAACTTGAGATCAAACATATCTACATAAAGAGACATCTTAATTCTTCTTTAATCTTAAATTAGAAGTTTAAATATACAATTCATTGTGTATCATTTAGTTATAACATAAACTTATAAAAAGGAAGTGATGATTAAAAAAAACTCTAAATGTCGTTATTTACAAGTAATTATTAATAACTGTAATTGTAAGGTAAAATGTTTATGTTAACGATAAAATAAAACTTTATTTACACAGCAACGCAATTAGCTTCACAATTCCTGTAAAGAACAGTATACATCTACAATAAGAGTTATCTAGCACAATTACTACAGTCTTAATAACGCGATACTATAGAAAATATTTATAATATATTTTAACTTCACAATTCCTGTAAAGAACAGTATACATCTACAATAAGAGTTATCTAGCACAATTACTACAGTCTTACATAGACGCGATACTATAGAAAATTCACATCCTGTAAATAAAATTCATCAGAGAAACGGCCATAGAGTGTCGCCCTATAATACCCCGCAGGGATAAACTAATTCCCTTTACACAAATGCTAATCCAAAAATATAACCTCTTTAATTTATATATATATTTTTTAACTTTATACATATTTACGAAACTATATACATATAATGTTCTTGCCATACTTTAAATTACTTTTAACTCACCGAGTATACACACATTTATTTCCTCATATTTTCGGCACTACGAAGGTCTAATAATATCAATAATTAAATACCTTCGATAAATATAATTCTGTAACACATCGTTTATGTCAAATGTTAAAGAAAGATGGGAAATTTTAGAGACTATAGAACGACGAGCTGCGTGTTTCCCGACGTAAAAATGGTTCCTCAATTAGGCAGTCATCTTGACTGAGAGGAGATAAAGCACGTTCCTTCAGGCTAAATAGAATCCTGACACGTAACAATAGCACTTAAAGACTACTTTAATCAATTGCTTCGCGACGTGATGTTCTCAATATTGCCCTAAAGCAGCTGTTATACTATGCGTAGAAGTGACTACCAGCATCCGAAACATTGAGCCGTTTAAAGCCAAAATAAATTTTAAAAGTATTTAATTTATACATCAGAAACGTCGGGCCTCAGGCAAAGTAAATCGCAAAGATTTAACCAATATGTTCCGCGTTTTAAACCGTTAAAACAGTTTTACATATACTTTTGAAACGTCGGGCCGTAGTTAAGAGTGTATTATTTGAATGTCTACTAGTAGCGTAAACTATAGACAATACTAGACAACCGGTAGGTGTCGAATCAAATCTAATTTCAACTATTTATGATCCACTACTAGACATAGGTCTTCAATAGTTAAGGCCTAGACCCACCATACTGCTTCAGTGTGGCTAGGCAGATTTAAACTTAAATTAATACACTCCGAGACACGATGGTTGTGTAATTGGTGGTCGGTGGAGGCTAGGCAAGCACTAGATTTTTTCTTCTTAAAGAACCGGAATTTAAATTTGGTGCCTCGAGATCAGTAGTCTAGTTCATTAAAGTAATATAGTATTAAATGGTTATGGTTAAGCGTTTTATTTTTAACCTCATTTACACAGCTTCAGAAAATAGTTATAATAATATTTGCAAGCTTTTATTCGAAAATTAAAATTATTTGCTCCATCGGTTAGATCAACCAACGAACGAAGTCTAACTCTGTCTTTTAATCGATTATGTCCATCATTGCCTAGCATTCCGTTTAATTTTAGATGGAAAGCCGTTAAGTTTATTCGCGTTCCGGTTTCAGTCTGTGGATTTCCGAATATCCAAAGAATAAAAATATCTTGTTTAAATGTTTCGTCTACCATGAAGTGAACCCATGTTTATCTGTCCTCCTCTATCATAAAAAAACTAACCAATAGCTGGGCCACAAACCTTTAACTTTATTGAAACACTTTAACGGTTTAAAACACAAAATGTATTATTTAAACATATTTGAAAATTATTGTAACTACGGCCCCACGTTTCGGATGCTTTGGAGCAGTATATTTCGCGTTTTAAACCGTTAAAGTGTTTTATTTAAATTTATATAGCTCCCGTAAGCTACAGACCGTATTTAAATCAATACGCCAAATGAACGTAATGTAAGAGCCCCATGCCCCACAAACAATGTTAAGAACTACACACTTGTATATAAACGATTCATGTACAGAAATGTATTCGCCCTATGCCCCAAATGTGATTTATATTACAAAATTTAACGTATAGGTACGCTGCGAACCATGAAATACTACAGCTGAAAAATATAATTTACACAATTTTCTACGTAGTTGAACGTCGAAATAAATATAACGTTGGTTTTCGTTGCTCGAAACAAACTTAACATTTTTTCAGTTTCAGCGTTTTAATAATGTAACGTTGATATTAACTTTCTCTAGTATAAAATACGTATCGTATATGCATTTCGGCGAGCTTATTGGCTTGTACAAAATGTTAGGAGTGAGTAGTAACAACCAACGTTTAGAAAACTCAGTTTAATACATGGATCTATACTAATATATAAAGCTGAAGAATTTGTTTGTTTGAATGCGCTTTCTCGGGAACTACGGGTCGAATTGAAAAATTATTTTTGTGTTGGTTAGACCATTTATTGAGGAAAGCAATAGGCTAAAAGACCAAGCTATATAAGCGACGAATAGCAGCGGTAAATGTCGAAAAAAACGGGGGTAAATTATTCACTCTTGTGAGTGTCTATTACGGACATTGCAAAAACGGTTCAAGATACCCAAAAAATATGTATAAAAGAATGTTTCTTTTTTAAATGTTTTAAAAAATGTCTGCGACTCTCTATGTTTATCTTGGAAGATTTACGTGTAAAAACTAAGGGACGCGACCGACGTCGTAAATAACAGCTTAAATTTATAAAGATAAAGAGAAGGTTTGCAAATACAAATTTGGATATCCAAAATCTACGAGGGCGAACTCGCTGGCACAGTTAGTATTTTATATAAGACAAGCCGTGCCCGCTCCGTGAGTTAATTAAAAAATATGACATATATTGTCAAAGATTTTTTTATTCTTTAAAGAAAAATCATTATTTCATATATATACGGTTTCTTAAACCGTTTTAAAAGCGCACGCAACCCCCAGTCCCCTTGTTTCTTCGCTCCTATTAGTCGTAGCCTAATATGTATTAGCTTTAAAGCCTTCTTAGATAAATGGTCCAAACAACACATTTTTTTTTCAATTCAAACCCGTAGTTTCTGAGATTAGCGTGTTTAAATAAACACCCTCTTCAGCTTTATAATACCAGTACAGATACAAAAATCCGTCCGGATTACGAAGGACCATAAATAAAGAAACCATAGAGCTTAGTTTATTTTGCGGTTTCGATTTTAGTCTGTGGATTTCTGAAACTTCTGAATAATAGCTTAACGGCACATCTTAATTAGATGCTAAATAAAAGATTCTCAAGTAAACTCTATGGCTGTCTATCTTCAAATATCATAATATGAATGTTGTTTTTGCAGGTGTTCGTGGTCTGCACAACTTGGAGATAAATGTGCCAAATGCCGTTCTTGTGGGCGAAACGGTGACTCTCGAATGCACTTGGCAGTTAGAGGACGAGGAAGCGTTGTACAGCGTGAAGTGGTACAGAGGAAGAGAGGAGTTCTATAGGTATATACCTAAAGAGCTTCCGCATACGCGGGTGTTTCCATTACCTGGAATTGAAGTTGATGTAAGTTTCTAGAGTTCACAAACTTAATTTTAAGACGTACATCTCTTGTTATAAAAGGAAAGTCTTGATATATTACCAAGTTTACTTAATATGTACGTTTTATACTATAACTAGCGATCCGCTCCGGCTTCGCTCGAGTGCAATGACACTAAATACACTATAAAAAAAACGGTGAACGTTGTATATAAAAACCTTCTTCTTGAGTCACTCTATCTATTAAAAAAAAACGCATCAAAATCCGTCGCGTAGTTTCAAAGATTTAAGCGTACATAGGGACAGAAATAGTAGTTTTTTTTAATGATAGAGGAGTACAGACAAGGTTAAATGACCCAGCCATATAATATCTAAACAAGATGTGCTATCAACCTATTTTGGTATTGGATATTCGGAAATCCACAGACTAAAATCGAAACGCGATTAAACTTCACGGCTTAACATCTGTGGACGCAAATTCGCTATTCCTATCGATGCCGCTGACCATAGTTCAAAAAGCCGTAATTCACTTTTTGGTTTCATCCTGTGGATTTCCGAATATCCAATACCAAAGTAGATTGACTGCGCATCTTGTTTAGATGTTTTATACCTTGGCGTGGTATTTCAACCATTTTCAAGCGAACCTCGCCTTCTCTATAATAAAAAAAAAGCTTTATAAAAAATCATATAAAGTACGAAGAGTGGGTTTGAGAGTCTAATACCAATAGGTCGGTGGCGTATCGTAATTAGATATTCTAACTTTTCAACATATAGTTAATCCTATTTTTATCCTTCTCGGTCTTAAAAATATATTGTAACATTAAATAAAGGGGATTATATATTTTGTATTGTGTTGCTTGCTAGCTCAATTATGTTGATGAATGGTTCTAGTATAAAAGTGTTCTCCCGACGGCAAAAACACTGAAAGCTACGTTACATAAAAACTTTTTCCAATAGTGAATACCACTAACAATTGAGAATGATTTGCGAAACTCCATTGTAAAAGTAATTACAATAGAGTCGTAAATAGTATTTTACTACATTTATTAGAAAAGTGAACATTATTTTTCTTACAATATCTATTGAAGTGATCTGTCTAATTATCGTGGAGCTAATTATGATCACGTCTTAAAGGTGAATAATGAATTAAATTCGATCAATTACTGTTCTGTAAATAAAATGTTTCAGTGATAGATTCAGAATTATTGCTCATCTCAAATATAGGGGATACGAGATTCGTTTTTAAGCTAATGCCGCGTAAAATTCGCGTAAAAAGATTGAGAATTTCGTGTGTAGATGCCCTAGCTTAGCTACAAAACAGTGCCATGACCGTCATCTTTTGTAGGTCTAAAATTTTGGCTAGATACTGAAATTTGATAGATCTAAGTGAAAAAAACGAAGGCCTTTATAAAACATGTATAACAGTTTAAAAAGCGAAATATATAACTTTTTAAATTGTTTGTGTTGCTTTGTAGCAGCCGTGGTCGATGGGGAAGTAAAGTTGACGGGTGTCCGTGATGTCAAAGTTAAATCTGAGATGCACCGCAATGTCGAGCTATAGTTGAAATTAATTAAAAATATGTCAACTAATATTTCGCGTTTTAAACCGTTGAAAGTGTTTTATTTAAATGTGTAAACTACAGACAAATGTAATACTTAATGTCTATGTGATAACTTGCAAGGGTCGAACACATTTCTGTGTCCGTTTCACCGATCGGTTTAGCAAGTAATTGGTTAGATATCTGTGCCCCGCCCGACCGAAACAATTTATTGTTTCCCCGGGATTCGAACCCAGGACCTCTCGCGCTGAATGCAATGCTAGACAATATGTTTAACCATTTATCTACAGAGGCAGACAAGGCGATAACGTACAATCAATTGAAATATTAAAATTATTATCATTTGAACATGAAACAAAGCCTTCGTTTTAATAGCGTTTCAGTTGTAGGCACTAATTACACAATTGTTGCCTCGTAAATAAATTAATGATTCATCGGTAGGCTTGTAGTAGGCGCTTTCATAATTTATACTACGCTGTTAAAATATTTGTGTAGCAATCACTAAAGGGAACAACACTGTACTGTTCATATCTATACTAATACATAAAGCTGAAGAGTTTGTGTGTTTGTTTAAACGCGTAATATATCAGGAACTACTGGTTCGAATTGCATAAATATTTTTGTGTCGGTTAGAACATTTTTCGAGGAAGTTTAAAGGCTATAAAATATCGCGAAGTGCCCAATATAAGCGAAGAAACAGCGAGAAATGTGTGAGGATAAAAAAGGGGGAAATTATTAATTTCTGTGAGTTACCGATGCGTACGTTGCAAAAAAAGGTTTAAGATACACAAAACATGTTTCAAAAGAATGATTTCTCTTTAAATGATCTAAAAAAATCCGCGACACTTGTCTATCTTTTATGATTAATTTGCAAGAACGACGGGCCGTGAGCGACGGGACGCGACCGATATCATGGGCAGCTTAAATTAAAAAAGATGTAGAGGTTTGCAAAAACTAATTTGGATATCCAAAATAACTATTCTACACGGGCGAAGTCGCTGACACAGCTAGTTGTGCAGATGAACTAAAGTACCATTTAAAAACTTGTGCTCAGCCAAAAACACAGAACGCCACTCGCGCACCTCAATGCCGAGAACGGTTCACCTCGCTAATTGGTGAACTATCAATCAATTCTGCAAGTGTCCGTATTATTGTAAATAAAAGCATTCATTTCCCACTAATTTCTATAAAACTATAGCGTGTAAATAACGAATATATTTGCTGCGAGATGTTATATCGTCCTAATTAAGAAAAAGTTATTTGGTATTCATTTTGTTTGTATTCATTAGTGAATGTATAAAAGTATAAAGAATAGAAAGGATGAAATACAATACGAAAATGTTCAATCAAATGCTAAGAACGGGACGTACATTGTTAGTTCACTCGAACCTTGGCCGTGTATAAAACGTTTTTTAATCATTCTAAATAATCCTTTAGTCTTGTGTTATTGTTAGATTCCAAAAAAACATTATCTTCTAATCATATATAAAAATATCACCCTACTTACCTCATTATCTACTCTAATTAACAGTATAAAAGTGTTCATTTTAAATTTAAATTATTTACAAACAAACAAACTTATTAGTGTTAATAAATGTTGGAAATATATTCTTGATTTGTATAAAAACGAAACATATAAGAACTCAGTATATTTTTTTATTGTTAATTGTCAATGCACCGGAAGAAACTAACGCGAAAGGTTAATAATATTTTTCTAAATAAAGAAATTTGTATTTCAAACCGATGTTTCTTTCCACAGATATCACGATCCGGGGCGCGTCGCGTGGTCCTGCAAGAGGCGACGCCCGCAATGGCAGGTCGTTTCCGGTGCGAGGTATCAGCAGACGCGCCTACCTTCCACACGGAAATACGATCAGCACCGCTCGAAGTCGTTGGTAAGTATTCATAGAAAATCTAAGGAGTGTATATTGCTAATGCGGCTTGAATAGCTGTGTACATTACCTGTAGTTTACGGGAGGAGTACAAATTTATATAAATTTTCTTTTAACGGTGTAAACCGCGAAATCACTTCTATACACAAATAATATTAAAATACATTTAAAAATGTGTTAACTAATATATTTCCCGTTTTAGACTGTCAACATTGTTTTGTTTTTAATGTCTATTGAAATCAACATAAAAATTTATAAGTCTAAAGAGTTTTGAGTTAAACATTGTTATAAACGGACGTCTCGACACTTTTATATAATTAAAAGGACATATTAAAAATAATTTTTGAAAAGTTTATTATGTTGATACATTATTCACATTGATATGTATATTGATATATGATATATAAAAAAAAAATTTTTTTTTTTTTTTTTTTTTTTTTTTTTTTTTTTTTTTTAATTAAAAATTTAAAGAAGGGGAAAAAAGGTTCCCTTTTTTGAAGTTTTCATAAAAGTTCAGTTTGGTAGATTAATTGATACATAGTGGGAACAGAGCGTACACTAATTTTATATAAATGTTTATCATGAAACTAGGAAATCTATCGACAACAATACAGGTATGATTCAAATAAGTAATGAAGCGTAGTTAAACTGCTATTCCAACAACAATTAGGACAAATATTTAACACTGATAAACATGAAATAGCGCACTAAACGCATTAAATAAGCATTACAGAAATTATGTAAATTACAGTATACAAAGCCCACCACGCTTACAAACGTGTCATTTCAAAGCGCCAATAAATTACAATTAAAATAAACTATTTTATAATTTTAGTGTCGAATTAATTCTTCACGTTTAACTCATACGCAGCATTAAGAAATGCTATAAGACTAGTATAAACAGGTCGCTTTGCTATAGTTGAAATGCCCTTCAAATAGATTTGTTTCTTTAAACATAATAAATTGATTAGGAACATTTTAGGGTCTAGGGATTAGTGATATGACCCGTTGATTATTAGCCTTGGATCTAAAAATAAAGTGTGTGTCCAGTTTGATACTAATAAATGACAAGTCTTTGGCATTAATTATTTGTGAATTGGTAAAAACTGTATATCCAACTAGCTGTGTCAGCGACTTCGTCCGCGTAGAATAGTTATTTTGGGCATCCACATTTGTTTAAATAAAACACTTTAACGGTTTAAAACGCGATATATTAGTTAAACTTATTTGAAAATGATTTTTAACTTCGGCCCGACGTTTCGGATGCTTTGCAGCAGCCGTGGTCACGGGGAGACTAAAGATGGAGGATGTCTCAGACGTCAAAGTAAAGAATTGCTACGCTAGCGCCATCTGTTCCGTCGAAGTTGGTATTTGGCGAAACTGGCCGGGTCCTTACAGAATTGACTAACGGTGTCTTCGCGTTTGCTGGTATGCTGTTTATTGGGATCCAGAGTTTTTAATATGGGATCCCAGGTGTTTGATAGTTTGAGGCCGTCCTCCCTATTGAAATTTCGGTGTTTTTTGATTTCAATTGCTTCGCGTACCAATCTTGGAAAAAATCGACTCTCCTTTGCGAGGATTTTTGGTTGGTCAAAGCGAATGTAGTGATTGGGCCCTTCTGATGAGTGTTGGCATACCGCAGATTTGGAGAGACGTTTATGTTTTATATCCGCGACGTGTTCTTTAATTCTGTTTGAGATGCTACGCTTTGTTTGGCCGATGTAGGATAGGCCACAATCACAATCCAGTCTGTAAACGCCTGCATCTTGTAAAGGGATAGTACACTTGCTTGGTTTCAGGAATTGCTGAATCTTCTTGTGCGGCTTGAAAATTGTGTCAATAGAAGCTCGATTTAGGACTCTGCTAATTCTATCTGTAACTCCCTTCACATATGGTAGGTAGGCGGGCTGACGTTTGACTGTGGGTGGCTTGTTCCTGTTCCTGGGATGCTGCGGAGGGACTCTCAGCTTGTTCTTGCATAGGACCTGCTTGACATGCTGTAACTCCTCATTTAAGTGGGCAGCATCACAGAGACGGCGGGCTCTCTGAAACAAAGATACTCCGACAGAACTAAGTTGGCTGGGGTGGTGATGTGAGTCACCGTTCAAATACCTATCTGTATGGGTTGTTTTTCTAAAGACGGTATGCCCAATATTACCGTGTTCATCACGAATTACTAAAATGTCTAAGAAAGGTAGTGTGTTATTGTCCTCCTGTTCCATTGTAAACTTAATGTTATTGTGAATTGAGTTAAGGTGTGTAAGAAATGCAGATACTTGTGCTTTGGGTAAGATGGTGAAGGTATCATCTACGTATCGCTTGTAAAGCTTAGGTTTAACCGGGGAAGAAGCAAGGGCTCTCTCCTCAAAGTCTTCCATAAAAATGTCAGCAACTAAGGGTGAAACTGGAGAACCCATGGCTACCCCATCTACCTGAACATAGAAATCCCCATTCCAAAGTAGGTACCCGGTTGTCAAGCAATGTTCTAAGATATCCGCATATTCTATAGGCATGTTGTGTTTAATAAGTTTGCTCTTAATAATTTTGATACAATCAGCTATAGGTAAGTTTGTAAAGAGTGATGTGATGTCAAAGCTTACCATAACCTCATTGTCCGCTACCTTTAGACCTTTAATAGTTTCTACAAACTGATACGAATCCCTGACGTGAGCATTTGTATTTCCCCTGAGGGGGGCAAGTGTTCTGGATAAGTGTTTTGCTAGTTTATAAGTGGGCGAATCTATTTGACTAACTATTGGACGTAAGGGATTGTTTAATTTATGAATTTTAGGTAACCCGTACATTTTAGGTGGCTTCGGGCAGGCTGTGATGAGATGTTTGGCGTCGAGGTTTAGAGTCGTTTTGTACTTGTTAATAAGTTCCGACGTCTTTTTCATTACTTTGGTTGTGGGGTCCTTTGCAACCTTGTTGTAAACCGCGTCGTCATCAAGTATTTCCGACATCTTTTGTTTATAGTCCGACGTATCCATCACGACCGTGGCGTTTCCCTTGTCAGCACGCAGTACTATAATATCTTCATTCGCTCTTAGTTGTTTGAGAGCAGTCGACTCCGCTAGGGAAAGATTGTGTTTAGGCGGCTTGCTGGAGCGTAGGATACAGGATATATCCTTAGGGATGACATTTTTGAAGATGCTTTCCTCGACGTAGCTGATTATCTCTTCGCAAGGTATTTTTCGCGGCGCCGGAGCAAAATTTAGTCCTTTGTCCGAAGTTAAAAATCATTTTCAAATAAGTTTAACTAATATATCGCGTTTTAAACCGTTAAAGTGTTTTATTTAAATGTGTACTACTCGCGTAAACTATAGACAGTATTTAATCCACATTTGTTTTTGCAAACCTCTACATCTTTTTAAATTTAAGCTGCCCATGACATTCTCTTTGACTCCATGATTTTCTCATGACAGTCGTTCTTGCAAGTTAATCTTAAAAGATAGACATATAGTGTCGCGGACATTTTTTAGATCATTTAAAGAGGAATCATTCTTTAATACATATTTTTTGGGTGTCCTGAACCGTTTTCGCAGCGTACGCACCTGAAACCCACAGAGATCAATTTTTTTTTCTATTAGTCACAGCGCGATGTTTTATAGCCTTCCTCGATAAATGTTCTAAATATAATTTTTCAATTCAAACCCGTAGTTTTTGAGATTAGCACGTTCAAACAAACAAACAAACTCTTCAGCTTTATATATTAGTATAGTATAGATTACCTGTAATATTAGTATGGATTTGTTAGATCTGAGAGGATGTTTATTTGTCACTGTTCAGAATCGTAACAATGTTTCACTACATTTGGGATCAGATCATCTCTCATTCTTACGGCATCCGAGCCTCGATTACGGATTCCCTGAATCAACAATTCAGCCAAATTTGAGGTAAACTGTACAAGGCATTGTTCAGTCTAACGTAAATCTTGCTACCTCTGCACCGTTACAACACAATACCTTTTCTTCGATTGTGTTATCTGCTTGTAAAATGTGTTTTCCGACGGATAAATTACTTTAAACATTGCCGTTATTTTAGATTGAGCTCACTTTTACGCGACAATCTACTTGCTACATCTTCAAATTCAAAATCAAATCAAAAAATCTTTATTGTTTCCATAAACATGGTGCAGAATCGAAAGTCCCTAGTCCCCACACTGGGGCAAGCCTGTGTCGTGGGTGACTAGTCTCTTCCAGGTTACAATAAGTAAAAATATCTAAGCTAACTTATGTCTACTTACAATTAGTGTCTATTTAGGTGAATTTGTTCATGTTGTGTGTGTTAGTGTATGTATGAAGTGAGAGGGTGTTACGTATGTTGATAAAATATAGGTATGTAGCAGAATAAGTGTGATAGATGAATAATGTAAGTTTACAATGCTAACGAAATAAAGTTATTATAATTATTTACTCTACATAAGGTACTAACGAAATTAACCATTTTACAATTTATCAATTACAATAGCATTTTGTTATAGGCAGATAAAGTGCAATAACTATGTTTATCTAGGGATATAAAGCAAAGCCTCTTTTGAAGCGTGGTCCAGGCTTGACAGTAGATTTTTTATTATTTTGGTTATCTTATATCTTGACAGTTTGACGAACTTTATTTTAGCTAATTTATGAAGTTATTGTAAAAAAAATCTTAGAATCTTTTAAATAAAACACTTTAACGGTTTAAAACGCGATATATTAGTTAAACTTATTTGTATAGCCGTGGTCACGTCTCCCCGTACCACGGCTGGTTGAAAAGCATCCGAAACGTCGGGCCGAAGTTAAATATCATTTTCAAATAAGTTTAACTAATATATCGCGTTTTAAACCGTTAAAGTGTTTCATTTAAATGTGTACTACTCGCGTAAACTATAGACAGTCTTAGAATCTTAATAGTTAACCGTGATGGTAGACACCGTTGAGTAAAGCTCAAAAGTTCCTGAGTTCGAATCCCACGGAAACGGCCTCAAAAAGGTTGGCCCTACACTTACACTATACACTTCGCATGTAGGACATTCGTAACTTATAAGTTAAGATGGGTACCCCGGTGCTGTTTTAAAATTTACAAGCCAATCAAATAAATAAAGAAGGCTTATCAACATTATAATTTGAAGGTAGAGCGAGGGTAGAATTTTTCTTATTCTTAGAAAACATTCGTTTTGACACAATTCAATTACGGTTATAAATTTTTTGACAAGTAGCTGACCTGGAAAACATTCTCCTGCGATATGAAGTATTTCCACGAAATTTGATTACCATAAAATCGGTTTTTGCGAGTTGATTTTAAAAGATAAGCGGACTTTGTTTTAGATCATTGGAGGAAAATTAATTATGTTTTAAGTATCTTGAACAGACGCTTGCCCCGTTTTTTTTAACTATTTCCACTGTTTCTTCCCTATTGGTCGCATCTTGTTTTATAACCTTCATAATAAAGCCTTTCTCAATAAATGATTCACAAAAAGAATTATTAAATTCAAACCAATAATTTCTGAGAGCGCCTTTAAACAAACAAACTCTTTATATTATAAAATTAGCCAATGTATAATATTTATATTTACAGCTCTACTGAATAGACGTCTAAATAATATTACGGAACATATATTTCATATAAGACACATCGACCGCATTACGAAGAAACAGAAAGAAAGACCTTTATAAACTCAATCAAACTTTTGATAGTATTGAGTAATCCCTGTTTCCACATAATAGGACACACGTGTACTTTTATTGGAGATGCTTTTACGAGTCTCAGTGATAACATTTTTATATAAAAATAGTGTAAACTGGGACCTATGGGCCATTGGGTAGATACACTTCTGTGTCTGGTTCATAAGCTATGGTTTTACATTATCCCAGTTATATTATTTCACAGCTTAGGTCAGTGACAGATTGAGATTTTAATACAATAAACGGCATTTTATTGGATACCAATCGTCTGTTAAAAGCTGTGTGTGACGACATTGATAACAACGCAAACAACCAGTGTAAATAGAAAAATTGAGTTACTCTGCCTAATCGAAAAAAAATGTGTTTGAAAATACTTTTAACGTTTTATAACACGAATCTATTTGTTAATTTATTATTTACAATAAGCTAGAGATCAAAATCGTATGCTCGCAATGTGTGAAGACGTTTTAAAGCAGTAGTGATAGGTGCATTTTTAGAGACTGTAATTTTCAAAGCGCACGTATGTCATACGACGTTTTATAACATATTTACGAGGAAATTAATAATTTCATCACTACTTGACGACATTTTCAAATAAAAAACAATACAGCGAAAAGAAAAAGCGCGCGGAATTATTCTTACTTGTCCACAAATAAGCTATGCGCGCGCATCAACTTTTTTTTTAGGCAAAGGCACAAAAACAGCCAGTATTACTAATAAAGTAAATTAATATTTTTGTGTTTTTGTTACAGATAAATGGTTGTAATTTATTGTCAAAATTAATTTAAATTAAATAATTAAATGTTTATTTGTTATATTTTATTTCCCAAAGTTAATTTGATTAAAATTGACCACTTAAAATATAACCTCTTTGCTATGATTTTTAAATCATTAATTTTTAGTCTGAGTATTAACTTTATTAAAAAAACAAGTGCCTTTTACATTACATTATCGCACAAGTACATTACGATATTGAAATTGGTGTAATTACAACCACTTTACGAGCAAATATGTTATAAAGGTGGGTTAACGTGCAGCGCCATCTGTTTTTTCAAAAGAAACATGACGCTTCCATATGGTGTGTCGTTTTTCAAGATTTAAAATATCCTTAACATAGGCATTCATAAAATTAATATACCAATATAAATCGCGCTGTAAACCGTTAAAATGGTTTCGTTTAATGTGTATCGATGCTTAACCTACGTACCAATAATAATCGTTAGAATTAGTTAAGTACCAAGAGGAAATCACATTGTATAATAATAAATATAATAAAATGTGTATGGACAGGTTTTGTTTCAAAAATGCCGATAGCTATAATTATCAGCTGGTTTTTATACATCGCGCGTTGTTTCCCCAGTAAGTTAGTGTGACAATAAATTGGCTGATTGTATATTTATTTGTTGAATGGCTGCACTCGTACGTTACGCTTCGGCATGCAGTATATTCGATACCGCGAACAATAAACCAAATAGCAACAGAACCTCCGTGCCAAACACAACTTCGCTTCGTATTATTTCAATTGTTTCCTATAAAATCCACCTGTAAAAATTGGCCGGATAAAAGTATAAATGCTTTTGCGTTTATTGAAATAGAAATTTGTATTTTCGCAAAACGCTTGAGAATTTTGTTTTGGAATGTGTTAAGATCAGTTGTTCCTTTGTCGACGACTTTCGATGAGAATAATTTATAAAAAATAATATTCTAACGGCGGTGTTTCTCATTAATAATTAGACTAGCTTTAAACTTTGCTAAGATTTGATGCTAATGGTTTATCAATTACGAAACGTGAAATATAGAGAAAGACTTCAATATTACAAGGGCCGATAAATAAAGTTTTATGTATGTATAGTGCAAGTGCAAGGAAAAATTATATTATTTAAGTTATTTTAACTACGACCTGACATTGCTCACGTGGGAGCTTACGCCACTAATAGGTATATGTTGAGTCCTAAACTGTTAAAAAAGTTTGATTTAATTTATATCTCTTGCTTAACTACAAGCAATTACAAGTACCTATTGTCTGTAATTTACGCACGTTTCAAATCCTTGACGTACAGTTTTTTTTAATTATTATTATTTAAATGCAAGACAAGCAAGTGCATTGTTTGATTAGTTTTGGCGTAAAGTAATGACAGACGGACACTTGTCTTATATTATTAGTTTTGTTTCTTCTTCTCAATTACATTCACGGCGTGAGTTCGGTGAGGTAATCGTTCAAGTTTGTTTGATTAAGTAATCCCGTTACAACTTTGGCGGTATCTAAGCGAGGATACATCTATTGCGTAAACCTTAAAATAATTAAGATTTGTATCACGTTACGGACGCTGATTAATAATAGGAATATAATATATTTGTTATATGACATGATCTAAGAATGCAATATTAGATGCGTAGAAGACACGTTTTATTAATTGGGAGACTAATTGCAAAAAAGCGAACGTTTAAATTTAAAAAAATATGTATTTTTTTACTAACACGAATAGCCTCAAAATTACTTTTGTAGAAGATCGTGCTAAGAATCTCGATATAAAATAGGTGGTCCGTTGCACGAACCATCGTGCATGGATGAAAAAACCATTGTGGTTTTAGTCTGTGGATTTACTTATTCAAACTGCAAAGAGCGGGTTATCCAAAGACAAAATAAGTTGACAGCGCCATCTTGTTGAGATATTATATCGCTGGGATATCTGCCCTTCGGATCTCTAACTTCATGCTTGTCTTCTATCAACCGCAACCTCTATAAAAATGCAACGGCATATTCCACAGATAACAGATATGCCGTGTTCGGGACTGCAGTAAGAAGTCTTACATTTTGAACAAATGTTTGTTTATTCAAATAAGATGTTTAAACTACATTTTAAACAAATTTTCTTATCTATCATTAACACGTCAATTCGCGTACACATATATAATTTATGTCTCAACCCTCACAAAATTATAGTAATGTTTTCGTTGGCAGTAAATGTTATAACGTGAAAACGCGAACAGCGAAAAATATAATACTTTCACGTCGTCAGCAGTTACGTATAGGACCGCGGCGGGGAAAGTTAAGACCCAGGTGGAGTTTCAATTTAACACTAACTTTTATTAAGTTTCATACATTCCCTCCTTCGATAAAAATTGTCTCCATTTTGCGGAGTTGCAAATTTATGGTAGCAGCTCCTTTATTATAATATAGTCGTAATTTGAAAGCTTCATTTTATAGACTTTCGTATCGATGAATACTTCATCGTATATGTTTTATGAAGGAGCCATGACAACATAATAACTAGCTTTATCCTTCGGATTTACACGCTCTAGTAGCAAACTTTGTAGGTAGGTTTTAACGACTTGTAAAGCGTTATTAGGTAATTAAACATTTAATACATTAAAATTTTGCAGGACACTATAGCTCAATCAGTTAGAGCAGCAGCATGGAACTCTATCAATGCCCGTTCAAGTCCCGCCCGTCGTTAAATTGTTTCATTTTTAATAGGTTTTTAATGTATGTAATGCCATCATGTCCAATATTATATGAAAAAGAAAGTTTGAGTCTAAGCCAATATTCATTTAATTTAAACGCGAAATATATAAGTTTAACTAAGACCCAACGTTTTGGATGCTATGCCTGTGGTAATAGTAATACTTCGATGGACGCAAAATCAAAGTTAAATCATTCCTTAGGGCATCAGAGAAGTTGGGGCGTAGTTAAATTAAATTAAAAACGCTTGAAAGGGTTTTATTTAAATGTGTACTAGTCGGGTGAGCAATAGATATATACTTATAAGTAGTGATGCGCCGAGTAACCCTTTTGCCGAGTAACGAGTTCCGAGTTTTACTCAGCTCAATTTTTTTTCAACCGAATATTTGGCCAAGTAACTCGGTTCAATCAAATCCCCATTTCGCGCGCGTAAATAAGTAGAAACAGGTTCGCGACTGGCAAGACGTCGGCTTGCTCTCATCTTCTGGTAATTTTGTCTTCATTTTGATTTTATTAATTGAGATTTTGAAATATTTCCTAAATAACTAATAAAGACTAAAACTAGACTAAAAATTTAAATTCAAAGCTTTTCTTAAACAAAGTATAATCGTTATCAAATAACCGAGTTATTCGGCGGAGTACGCAGAGTATCGAGTATCGACCGAGTACTCGGCCCATCTCTACTTATAAGAAACAAAGAGTATGATTGAATAGAAGAATGAGATTTATATTACTTACATACTCTTAAATAAAATTTGTGTATCCTTGATAACGTGAGTGTTTTGTTTCAGAAACACCTGAATGGGGACCGAAGCTCGTGTCAGATAGATCATGGTACGGCGTGGGATCAACGTTGCGTGCCACTTGCGTATCACCACCAGCGCATCCACCCGCCAACCTTACGTTTGCTCTGAACGGTCGAGAGGTAACCTCATTTTACATCAGCACTTCACAAACACGCAGTTCTACTATATCCATATAGACCATAGACCATTAATACACACTGGGCACGTGCGGTTTGGCAGATGATATGTGTCGACTATTTTTTGTTCAAGACGTGCCAATTTTCGCACCATATTATTGCGCAGATTTTTCTGGAACAATCCATTCTTCATATCGCAAAAATGATAAGTTGGAAGTAGATTGTTACAGCTATTATACATCCAATTAATTGTGTATTCACGGCAAAACTGCAAGGCATTTAAACAAAACACTGTTGACGATATGAAACGCGAAATATATTTGTTAACTTTTGCATCCTAATGGCAAAACAGATGGCGCTAGCGTAGCAATTTTGACTTTGACATTTGGAACCATCTTCATGACCACGGCTACTGCAAAGCATTTTATACGCCGAGCTGTAGTTAAATAAGATTAATATATTTCGTGTTTGAAATCGTTAAAAGTGTTTATTAAAATGTGTTATGATGTATGGTCCGAGTTCTTAAATGAATTATTAATCATGGAGTTTAATAACGTTTCGGTATCAGTTTAAGCATTTCAGAAGGCACAAATCCAGAAAGTCAACGGCACATTTATAATCGATGTTACATGACTGGGGTATTTCCATCAAGTGAAACACAAACTTGTCCTCGTCATCAGATCCAACACTATTCATTTTATTTGGAATCCAGGGTTTACCGAGTAAAAGCATTGAGTCACCAAACATGTTTACTTATATTTAATTACATAATTTGGTATATGTATTTTATGCTAAATTAAATCGATAAACCGCAACCACAAAAATTTATTCGGGGTTCGATTTTCATTTGCGATATAAATCTCGCGATATACCTTTGACGCGCGATCTGTGAAATTATAAAATGGAGAGTGGTAGATTCCAATTTGAAGTCTAAATAAAAATCACCCATCCGAATACTTTTACGATACGACAAATAAACTACACAGCATTTTTATTGCGACTAAGTTTAATGAGAATGAATTAATGATAGTAAAAACATTTTGGAATAAGAAAACTATACTTTGCTTCATATAAAAAATCTTTGTTACTTTGATACTTGAATTTAACGTGAGAGATGCATAGGTCAAAAAAATCGGTGATGACGTGTGAGACACTGTAGTTTAATTGTTCAAAACAGTAACACACAAAGCTGTGGATGCGTGTGGTTCAAGTTCCACTTTGTCGTAATTTTTTAAATCTAAACGGTTTTTAATTGAACTTTTCTTTTTTGCAATAACTTTAAAGTAATTGTTTGAATTATTTCTATGATAACTTGATTTAGCTTGAGTATAAGACGTTATTTTATACATTTTGATGCTGCCAAACTTACTTTTTTTAATATAATTTGTCTTGGTAGGTTTAGACGTTATTTGATAAAATTTAACTTTAAATTGGATATGTTAGTTAACTTGGGCGAAGGGGGGGGGGGGGGGGGGGGGGAATTCCTTTTCAAATAAGTTATGCAAAGTTTTATTTAAACACCTTATAGCTACAAACAGCCGAATGAATGACCTTTTCTAAATTTAACTTTTTAATGCAAACACTTTTATTTTAATTACTGCTGTAATAAAAATTTCACGTAATTGATGGCAAACAATGAAGAAACAAATGTCCGACTCCCGAATATTACTTTTCGTAATGTAATACATAAGTTTTATTTGGCCATCAATTTTCTATTGTGACGAATAAGTTATAGTATAGAATATTATAATAATGTACTAAAATTTACTTGCAAACTACGTCACTAAGTGGGCTACTTATTGCCCACTTAGTGACGTAGTTTAACTGACGCAAAGAACGCATCACTACAGAAGCGTGAAATGTTGAGACGTGTAGTCTCATCATTCTATATTCTGTATACGTTGAAAAGTTGTCACACTATAGACGTACCTATTGTTGCATTTATTCAGCTCACTACAAAATGATTGAAAAATAGAAAGGTTTGACATAATGTCTGGACTGTTCCAGGCGATGAACAATTCTCCTTTATGGCGGAACAATGACTCCTCTCTACCTACGAGTATTTCACTCTGACGTCACTATAGTTTTTGTGCTGTCTAGCTATCATTAATCACTAGGTACATTAGCTTTTAGGGAATCTCGCTTTTATCTATCTCAAATCATTAACAATATTCCACTTGCTAATAAATGGTACAATAGAAATGTCAATCGACTGAAGATCATTAGGTACGCGGTGCGATTCCGAGAGCTCATCATCCTCGTACCTCGGAGAGTACGTTAAGCCTACGGTTTCGATTATCATTACTGATTTAGTGGCGATAGATACGGAAGCTGGCTACAAAACCTAACTGGGCAAAGTCGTCTCTCTCTTAATAAAAAATACGAGTAACCATCTGTGGCTCGTACGTACGTATATACGTCATCAGGGTGCGATGGTAGGAATGTGTGGCTAATAATCAACGGGCCTTGGGTTTGATATTGAATAGGTGGTAGGAATGTCCAAATTCCGTTCTGGTCACGAATTACAGGCCACAGATAAAAAGACTGCCACCAAAACGCCATCAAAGCAGCAATCGCGTTTTGGTGTCAGTCAATAAATTGTCGAATATCTAGAGCCGAAAATAGACGGTGCATCTTATTTAGATATTATATGGCTGTGATGTTTCACCTACCATCAGTAAACCCCATGCTTATGCTTATCTACCAAAGTAACATTATCCACTTTGCTTTTGCAGATCGATATGGAGTCGTTTGTTTACGAGTTACCAGAATGGTTCAAATGGGATCCGCCGGCGAAAAGCGACACAACGACGACCGAAGCCCCTGACGAGGATATCAATTTCAATATATTCCACGACGATAATAACGTCCAATATCTGGATGAATCGTATATAAACTTGCACAAGGAGGAAATACGCCGACCTCCCAAGGAGAACGTCAAACAAGTGTTCGAAAGGTCCGGGCCAGATAATAGGATGCCGTCTGTCGGGGAAGTTTTGTTCGTTGTTCGACATGAGGCGTTCGAAGGTGGCAGCCTCCGACTCACTTGTATAGCTAGCATATACAACTTGTATGCGGCCCGAGCTGAGTTGATTTTCGATATGGAGCAGCCAGAAGTTGCGTCGGTTTTAGGTGTTCGTAATGACGCTAGAGGTGGGTGAGATACTGTATTTTTTCTAACTTGGCATTTTGTGTTACAAACGTCGAGTATAATAATAATGCCATTAAAACTTAAATTAAAAGTTCGTTATAAAAGTGGTTTTGAGTATTGAGGTCGTTTAGAACATATATGTATAATAGATATTTCTTTATCCCTGTGTCATTTGTGACCACAACTTTATTATATAAACGCTCATCAATACTTATTTATGGTTTGAAATCAGAACTGGGTTTTTTTGGAATCTTTGATATATGTTGGTTTACAAGTGATCAATAAAGTTGAAGGAACTACGTGGAAGATGCTATTTGATTCAGTCTAACCGCAAGGTTCCTTTTGATACCAGAATTTTATTAGGATGATGGCGCAACCTGGGCTACGTGCTATAAGGTCTATAACGAAAATTTGATGGCTTACTTTCTAAAGCTATTTAAACTGGGTATTTGAAAATAAAATGAGCTTTGTGTGATCAAGTAGTCACACAAAGCTCATTTAGTTTAATTTATGCTCTGTATTTTAACCTTTTTTCTGTAATTGAATTGTATAGCTTAGTAATAATCAATGCTTTTTCATACATATGTTTTTTATTTTAGTCTTTATTGTCACACTGTCTTTGTATTACATGCTGTGTCTGTCTATAATTGTTTTATACAATTTTGTATTCTTCACCTATTTAGAGTTAGGTTATATTGCGTAATTGTGATAAAACGTCGACAGTCCATAAATAAATAAAATATTTTTAATCTCTTTAATCATATCTATAATCGAATGTTCTTTTGTTTCAGATTCAACGTTATCATTCATTGTCCTCTGGTCAACTTTATTTCTGCTGTACAACAATTATTTTTTTTACGTCCGGTAGTCATATAGATCGTTCTAGTTATTTTTTAGTATCTTTTTTATGCCGTACAAATAAACATATCCAGTATGGGATGAATAGAGTTTGAATATCTACTTACTAGTATTAGATAGGCCAAATTATGTTAAAGAAGAGTGGATAATGCAAATGAGGCCTATTTTTTTCATTTACTATCGAGATAATCTGTAGTGAACTCCAAATTACATGTAAGTATTTTAACATAGGCTTAGATACAATTTATTGGTAAAAGGTAAAGAGAATCGTCTTTTTTGATGTAATAATACACCATACAACAGTTAAGAGATCCATGATAACTCATGAATATTAATTCTCTATCAACAACAGTTACATATTTAGAAAAGTAACGTTTAAAGACTGACTTATCTATAGTATTTATTTTAAAGTTACGTTTAGACATTGTGTTATGGCAAATAGAGATTTACTTTTAATATGCTCTAGATTATTCTAGATAATATAGTTTATAGAGAGCTAAAGAACGTATGTAAAGTAGAATTACGAGAGTTTTGAAACAATTGAAAGTGAAAATCATTCTTATGTATCTGCGATGTCTTTTAGAATTCTTTTAGACATATAATTATATCTCATTGGGTAAAAACGATCCTAAAGATCTAGAAAATATAAATTCGTTTATTCAGATTTAAGTTGGAGTCAAATAAAGACGTATTTTTCAAAATTGTTAAATTTATCATTTAATCTATCTGTAAAGTGTTGTAAATAATTAATCGATAATATTTACGAGCGGGTGTATTTAAGTGAAAAATCTAATAAAAATTGTTGAAATTACCTTTTGTATTTCATTAGACACAACTCTACTGACAGGCTCGATGTTTTTGACATAATTTATTATTGATACAACGATGACTATTGTAAACAAAAATAAGTAATTTCCTATTGATAGAGCCACAGAAAAGACCATCAATCACATTAAGAGATAAGCCGACGTCTCCCAAATACATCAAGAATATAGGAAAATGAAGTAAAGTATTTCTATGATGAAATTCTCAGTAGAAGAGATTACAAAGTGAAATATTCCTTTAAAGCGAAGTGTTTTTAGACTATGTAATTATATGTGCTTGTTTTGAAAGTTTCTACATGATTTGGCAGCGAACGCCGTGTTTCGAGTTGGAGCATTTATTTTCGAGATTGGGAAATTTTCAAAACATGAATAATCGCTTTGCACGGCGAGGGCGCTTTTGTAGGCCGAGTGTACTGTGTCAGCCGTTCGTTAGTTCGCAACTCCGCTTAAACCCTCTCTTTGATTAAGCAAAATCTGTTCGTCAATATCTCCCTTGGAGCCCGATCGATAATTCTGCCACTTTCGTGCGATTGTTCTAATGCGAGGTAATAAATGAGAGGCGAAAACACTTAGCTTTGCATCTGGGGCGCTATCGAAAGGCTATCGAATATTTTAATCCGAACATTTCGGTACTTATGTTACAGAAGGTAAGCACTGTACTGTAATTATTCGAGACTAAAGTGAAACGCCATTTTTTCTTCATGGGGTAGGCATATTGTAGTTTATTGCGATGATTTTTTTACACACAGGTCGATGATAAGTATATTATTTTTTTTCTTTTAGTTACGAACCTATGATTTCTCGCTTTTAACGCAATGCAAGTATCTTAAGTCGATATTTCTTTTAAAGGGTATTAAAAAGCGCTGTTTTAATATTATTCAAGACACGCGATAATTTTAAGCGGCGTGACTATGAATGAACGCGTTTTAATAAACCAAAAAAATCTCGTTCTAAACGAAGTAACCCCTGCGGAGCAATTCTCAGCTGAGTGTCAAGATCTACGCCGACATAGGTCGTAAAACATTTTTGGAGCCATTTCTTAAAAATATTATAACATCGTTAAGTCGCAAACTTTATCAGATTTAGTCAATTCTTAAGAGGTGATATAATATTTGTGTCGACATATTTTAACACGAGGCTAGTATCAAAAGTTAACATTTATTTATTTATACAAACTTGGCTTACTAACTACATACATAAATAAACTTACAAGGTCTATTTCTAATAATAATTATTACTACGTATGTATCTAACTTAAAGGTAAAAAAAATTTTCACTTAAATTTATATTAAAGGTTGGAAAAAGAAAAACATTTTAAGTAAAAATTAAAACTGCACATGAATTTTATGTTATGCTGGCCGCGACGTCATGGGTGTGGTAAGTTAACTAAATTTATCACAGGCATAATATTTTTTATCAACGCGCACTCACCAGAAACCCACAAAATGAATAATTTCCCCGTCTTTCCACATTTCCTTTGTTTCTTCGATCTATTGGTCGCAGCCTGACGTTTTATAGCCTAAACTCTAAAGCCTTCCTCGATAAATTTTCTAACCAATACAAAATTTTTTCAATTCGAACTAGTACTTCAAACAAACTATTCAGCTTTATAATATTAGTATAGATTTTTGGTTATTGTCCCTTTGAACTACAATATTATAAACTTAATTACCCGAAGTGTAAATTAACTAATTAGTAACGCGAATAAATTAAACCTTTTGATTGACATCCGTGAGATTCGTGTTGTTCTTTGTATTAAGATTTCCACGGTATGTTATTAGCCTGTCAATATGCCATCGAGATTGCTTCGATCGTAAAGTACAAAACCTGTCACTTGCAACTAACATCACAGAAAGCCAGATTTTACACCTAAATGTAATATTTTGTAAGAAGCTTGTAAATGTGGAACAAGATTTTTAAAAACATTATAATAACAAATAAAAAGCGTAAAAAAAATTCGTAAGAAAATAAAGGATTTAAAATAAAACACTTTAACGGTATAAAACGCGTTATCTTTTAGTTACACTTTTTTGAGAATTATTTTTAACTACGGCCCGACGTTTCGGATGCTTTGCAACAGCCGTGATCAGGGCTATTAAAATGTTTTATTTAAATGTTTACTACTCGCGTAAACTATAGACAGTATTTGAATAAAGGATTGTCTATCTATAAAAATATATCTGATGTTTCAAGACGGTATACAAAATTCCATAATACTACAAGTAAGTTTAGTTTAAAATTTAATTATTATTTTAAAATAAGAACAAGTACCCCTGAGAAAATAACAAGTGTTTTGTATCGTTGTTATATATCATAAGCATTGTTATTAAAAATTATTTATTTATTATTGTATATCAATAGATTACTTATATATACATTATACCAAACATTATAATAAATTAAAATAACTCTATATGACCCAATTACTAATATACACAGGATTGTCAATTTAATATTAGTATTTAGGGAAGAGAATCGAACCTAATGAAAATAAAGTGTCTATATTCGTAATACTTTATTTTTAAAACGTTGAATAGAATCAAAGCAACATAATTAAGGTTTCACATGGTACAGTGGAGATTTTGACCTGCGTTAGTTTTTGGCGTTAATAATGGCTTTAAATAGAATCATTTTTAATATATTTGGGGCAATCTTATTATTCATATGTTTAAAATTGCTTACCAAAAAGATTGTATTACAGTCCCAAGTATAAGAGTACAATACAATTATCGGTATTTGTATGTTGTTTGTAATAATGGCGGGTTGCGACACAATAACAGGTACAACTTGCTAAATTGGATTCGCGCCCGAGGGACGCCCGCGACAGCCAGCGACGGCGCGAAGCTAATCATTGCGGATCGCACAATTCCATCATACAAACAACCTACTCGCGTAACCCAGCCATTGTCAACTTCGCCCTCAATTTCATTGAGAACCAGACGCGTGTTAAACATTGCTTGTTTATGACGGCGTTGATAACGATATATTTGGAATACGGAGACGTTTGTACATTTCGATTCGGTGTTGACTTAATGTCGGGGGGACGGTATGGTAGTAATGTACGGCTAATAATCAACGGGGCGTGGGTTGTATCCCCATCGGGTCCAATATTTTTCTGGAAATCTGGATATTAAATGGGCGGTATTGATATCGATATTCCGTCCGGGTCACAAACTAGTCTAGAGATGTAAAAACTGCGATGTTTAATCACGTTTCGGTTTCGGCTTGTGAATTTCCGAATATCCAAAGCCAAAGTAGGTCACCAGCGTATCTTGTTTAGATTCTATAGGGTGGGATATTTCCCCTACCATCAAGTAAAACCCATGTTTGTCCGTCCGTCACTATCATTAAACAATATTTATTTATTATAAGACATCAACATATCGCTTACATATAATACAATTTAACAGCATAACAAATTAAAATACTTATCTAGGACCCACCTAGTACACGAATTGTCATTTTTGTTAATAATTTGTCTAAAATAAAGATAAAAAAGTTTAATTTAAAAATCGAAAATAAATTGAAAAAGACTTGAACCGGCATCGAAAATTTTTTCAATTTATTTTCGATTTTAAAATTATATAGTGCCTTCATGTGCAATAACATGTAAAAATTAATACAGTTTTCAGATAAAAACGTTTATTACTGATTCTGGGTGTTTGTAATATAGACACAATCTATAGACTACGCCAGCTACGATCCCCATTTTAAGAAAAGTTAAACTTAGAGGGGCCCCACTACCACTGACTAGACGTCAAGGGGGTCACGATTTAGAAGTATATTAGGCCATTGCTGTCAGATGTATAAAGTAGTACCTAAGTTAAAACAGTTTAGTTTTGAATATACATAATAAAATAAGAAAACCCGCTTAATTTATCTGTTAGTAAGGTTATTTTCGAATTTCGAATATTGAAAGCATATGGATAAACGCTCGTTAATTAATTTTAACAGAGTGGAAGTAAATAACGAGAGCAGATTACGTACACGTTTATAATTTATCTGTAGAGAGATGTATTAACAAAAATAACGATAGTAATCAACAAGAAATGCCATGCCTTTTAACTCGTAAACTTCAGCGCGGATTTTTAAAATCCTTCTCACCAGAAAAGCTTTTGCGGATTATACAGAAACCTACAGTCGTGTTTCCATTTGTATCCTACAATGGAAGCCTTATTTTGTTGCA